AAGATTTCTTGAAAAGGTTTTATTGATTTAGATCGATAAAGAAGTCTTATTATCCGCCTTCTCTTTATCCATCTTTAAGTCTGGAGATTATTATACTCAGCTAAGATTTACCCCTTCATTTTTGATTGATTTGTTCAAAAAGGTTTCGATATCTTTTGAGTCAAACAATTTGTTTCTATAGCTGAAACGTAGTTTTCATCTAGATTCTTGAAAGAAATAACCACCTCTCTTTAGCTTCATAAAGGCCAACAATGGCACGAAAGGGAGAAAGCAAAGCTAAAGGTAATAGTAGGTGTCACGAACAACCTCCTGAATTCCCTTAACGAAGCCAGTGGAAAAGACAACGAAAACGCAACACCAAGTGCTACACCCGAGGGAGAGATCTCACCTCCCCCGCACGAGGATCTAACGATCTTGCTCGAGAGGGAAACCTCGACATCCGCAGCAGGAGAAGCGCCACCGGCCATGAAAAGGCTATTAGAAGAATGGTTGACAAACACCTTGAGCAGCATGCTCGAGAAACCCGTTGAGAGAGATATCGAAGACACATTACCCGCAGAAACCGCATCTGTTGCCGATGAGCCAGACACTACACGAACAGATAACACCCGTACTGTTACTGACGTAGGCAACGATGCACTCACGACCATCTTAAAGAAAATGGAAGAGATAGAAAATGAGAACAAAAACACTCTGCGACCAGATAAAGGAACATCAGGAAAGGGTTGATAAAATACCAAGCACTCCGAAGTTGTTACCAAAACGCGATGTGGGCCGATTCGTTGAACAGCCATATAGCGAAGAGGCAGCTCCCCATTCTATTTTAAAGACCTTCAAAATGCCGCCATATTTGAAAATATATGATGGCACCACGAACCCAGAAGATCACTTAATCCATTACGTTACCGCAGTAAAAGGTAATGATTTATCAAAGGAACAGCTGCCGTATGTACTGCTAAAAAATTTCGGCGAAACTTTGACAGGGGAGCATTGACATGGTATTCCCAACTACCAGCACGATCGATATCAACGTTCGAAGAGATGTCAGATAAGTTCATCACCGCTCACGCGTGAGCAAAAAAGGCAGAGTCTAGGTTCAATGATATCTTCGTCGTCAAGCAAACGACGGGCGAATGACTTCGGGATTTCCTAGCCCGATTCAATAGGGTAAGGATGAGCCTACCGAACGTATTAGAAGGGATGGCAGTAGTAGCATTTCAAAATGGGCTAAATAGAAAAGAGTCAAAAGCAACCAAAAAGCTACTAAGTAGACTTTTGAAGTACCCCCTACCACATGGGAAGAGATCCATAATGCCTATTGCGTCGAAGTGATGGCAGACGAGGATGAACTGAACGGACCGCTCCAGTGATTAACATCAGTTCAAACCGAGACACGGAAAGATCGCCGCAATGACGGTTGAAGGGATCAACTACCACATTTCAATCGAGAAAGGAACCAACCCTATATCCGAACATCCAATCCACCTCCTCCACGACATGCATACTCTGCGCCTCGACACACCGCACCCCCCTCGAAACGAATAGGTATGCCTCTACTGTTATCTGCTCATAACTTTTGTGTTTCTCCTTCAGAAATGGTGTAAACACTGGAAAAGCTCGGCACGAAGGTGCAATGGCCGCAAAAGATGAAGTCGGATCCGAGCACCATGAGGTCGAACGTTTTGTGTGAATTCCACTAGGAAAGAGGACACAAGACCAAATACTGCATATGACCGCGACAAGAAGTGGTAAGAATATTAAACCAGGGATACCTGAAAGAACTTTTGAGCGACCGAGGACGGGCCAACTTCGCTCGCGGACGCGATCAACCTCAAGGACCTCCAAAACTACCATCACCAGCTCGTACCATACAAATGATCATTGGCGGCGGCAATGATACGATAATCAACCAAGTGAAATTCACCACCACGCATAAACTCAAATGGACGGTTGCCCACGAACGGTATGACGACCTCGAAGACAGTATCATCTTCGATAAGTCAGATACTGATGGTTTGTCTTTCCCTCACTATGATGCTTTGGTTATAACTTTACGCATCGTAGATACCGATGTAAAAAGAATAATAGTGGATGACGGAAGCGGCACGTGTATTGTTCACCCACGAGTTCTCATGCAGATGAGGCTCGAGGATAAAATAATACCGCGTTGCATAACACTAACGGGTTTTAATAATGCAGTGGAGCGAACCTCTAGGGAAATAGTGCTACCCATCCTGGTAGGAGGAGTCACCCTAGAAATGACATTCCACATTATGAACCAGGAAACAGCCTACAATGCCATCATATGACGTCCATGGATACACGCCATGTGCACCGCCTCGTCAAGTTTCTATCAAGTAATCAAATTTCTCACTCTATGGGGGATATTCAGCATCTGAGGCGAGCCACGTACCGCCCAGGAATGCTACCTGATAGCCCAAGATTGCACACACACCAAACAACTAAAAAGGGCAAGTGCGAAGGCATGACAATCAGCCATGTCGGGAACCAAACCCGACGCACAAGTAAAGGCCATCAAAGACCCGGACGTCGTAGAAGCTTGTAAAGAAACCGTAGAAGATCTTGATCCCGTTCAACTAGACAACACCGATAGCACGAAAAAGGCTTATGTCGGACATAACCTCTCGGAACCAGGTAAATATCATGAGTTCTTAACTAACAACGCCAATTTGTTTGCCTTTTCCCACTCAGAAATGCTAGGAATCCCAAGGGATATCGCCACACACAGGCTGAACGTCGATCCTCTTTACCCGCCGGTATGGCAAAAGAAGAGAAAGTTCAATGCCGCCATCAATGAGGCGGTCAACGAGTAGGTTGATAAATTACTCGCTAATGGTTCCATCAGAGAGTCGAAATACCCCCAATGGGTCGCCAATGTGGTCATGGTCAAAAAGAAGAATGGGAAATGGCGGATGTGTGTTTACTTCACCGACCTGAACAAAGCATGCCCGAAAGATTCCTTTCCGTTACCACACATCGACCAGCTCATCAACGCAATAGCGGGGCACGAACTACTGAGCTTTTTGGACGCCTATTCCGGTTACAACTAAATTTTAATGGCTGAAGAAAATCAAGAAAAGACCACTTTCATCTCTCACCGAGGAACATACTGCTACAAGGTAATGTCGTTCGGACTCAAGAATGAAGGGGCGACATATCAAAGGTTAGTCACCAAGATATTCGAAGAACAACTTGGTAAGACCATGGAGGTTTACATCGACGACATGCTAGTAAAATCGACAAAGAAAGAGGATCACATTGGCCATCTGAAGGAAGCCTTCGAGATATTGAGGCAATACGGGATGAAGCTGAATCCCGAAAAATGCGCCTTCAGCGTAACTTCAGGAAAGTTCCTTGGTTTTCTAGTGTCACAAAGCTGTATTGAGGTCAACCCGGACCAGATTAGGGCCATCGAAGGAATACCGGAGGTACTGACCAGCAAAAAGCAGGTGCAGAAATTAACAAGACGAATAGATGCCCTATCGAGGTTCATTTCACGATCATCAGATAGATGCCATAAGTTTTTAAATGTGCTAAGGAAAGACCACGGAATGCAGAATGCGTCGACGCTCTGAGAAAACTGAAAGCGTATCTATCTTCGCCACCCCTACTCGTCAAAGCAGACCCAGGTGAATGTCTACTTGTGTATCTAGCAGTCTCCGAAGTCGCGATAAGTGCAATCTTGATCCTCGAAAACAAAGGTACGCAATCTCCGATTTACTATATCAGCGAAACCTTAATCGATGCCGAAATAATGTAACCTCACCTTGAAAAACTAGCTTTGGCGTTAGTCGTAGCTTCACAAAAGCTTAGACCATATTTTTAATGTCACCCCATAAAGGTGGTGACAACCTTCCCCCTAAGGGGTATCCTACACAAACCCGAGTTATCGGGTAGATTGGCCAAATGGGCCATAGAACTAAGTGAGCACGACATAATATACCAACCGCAAACTGCCATTAAGTCGCAGGTGCTCGTCGATTTCGTCGCTGATTTCAGCGTGGAAATATTGCTTGAAATAGAGCAAGAAGCGCTCCGCGCTTCCGCACACACCAACCTCTGGGTCCTCTACACCAACGATGCTTCTAATGCCTCGGGATCAGGACTGGGACTCATCCTCGAAGTTCCTACGGGCGAAGTAATTCGCCAGTCCATACGATGCCCTGAGATGACTAACAACGAGGCTGAGTATGAAGTTGTGATTGCAGGATTGAAATTAGACCTCAAATATGGCGCCCGACAACTCATCTTCCATTGCGACTCTCAACTCGTGATGAACTAAGTCACCGAGACTTTCCAAATTAAAGAACAGAGACTACAAAAGTACCAGTCGAAAATTCACAAACTGCTACCAGAATTCGATGAATGCCGCTTCGACCAAATACCTAGGGCGCAGAATATCGAAGCAAACGACCTCGCCAAGCTAGCAGTAGCCACCAAAAATATCAACAAGGAAAACGTGGTCACCCTTCTCCATTACGCAGTAGACCACATCGAGGTACATTCTGTAAGCCTGACTTGGGACTGGCACAACCGCCTCGTAGCATATTTGCAGGACGGAATGCTCCCGCAAGATAAGAAAGAAAGCAAAAATCTTCGGATACATGCAGCCAAATAGAGCCTCATAAACGGTGATCTCTACAAAAGAACGTTTGGTGGGGCCATAGCCAAATGCCTTGGGCCAAACCAAACAAGATGAGTACTGGAAGAAGTACACGAAGGGCACTGTGGCGCCCACACGGGAAACCGCGCCCTTCGTCCGATGCCTTATATGCGCCGGATACTACTGGCCTACCATGAAAAAAGAAGTCGCGGACTACGTTAGGAGATGTGAACAGTGTCAGAAGTATGCCCCTATGATACATCAAGCAGGGGAACTTCTTCATTCCATCACTTCACCATGGACATTCATAAAGTGGGGGATGGATATAGTCGGACCTCTCCCAGCCGGACGAGGTAATGTACGTTTTCTTTTGGGTTTAACTGATTACTTTTATAAATGGGTGGAAGCAGGTGCATACATTCAGATACGTGAGCAAGAGGCTATCACGTTCATATGGAAAAACATAATATGTTGTTTCTGCATCCCCAAAGAAATCAGTTGCGACAACGGGCCTCAGTTCGTCGGAAAGAAAACGACCGAGTTTTTCAAGAAATGGCACATTAAACGAATACTCTCCACGCCATATCATCCCGCCGGTAATGGTCAAGCCGAATCCTCCCATAAAGTAATACTGAGTATATTGAAAAAGAAGCTTGAGGACGCCAAATGGCTATGGACTGAACTACTACCGGAAGTATTATGGGCATACCACACCACACCAAAAACCAGTACAGGTAAGATGCCATATTCACTAGTCTACGGGACTGACGCAGTTATACCAGTCGAGGTCGGAGAGCCTAGTTTGAGATACTCCAACGAGAGAGGACCAAGCAACGATGAAAGTAGGCTACAAGATCTGGATGAAATCGAAGAACGGAGAGACGTGGCCCGCATAAGAATGGTAGCCCAAAAGCAACAAGCAAAAAGGTACTACAACAAGAAGGCCAAAGTGCGACCGCTCAAAGTCGGAGATTACGTCCTCAAGGCTAAAACACAAGTAGCGAAAGACCCTAATGAGGGAAAACTGGGACGGACCATACAAAATCACAGCCGTAGCAAACAAAGGAGCAATCTAGTTAGAGACAATGGAGGAAACACTACTCCAAAACAACTGTAATGTCACCCATCTCAAATACTTCCACTTCTGAAAGAAGGCGCTACCTAAGTCGTACTCTTTTTCCATCATCTGAGTTTTGTCCCAATCGGGTTTTCTCGGTGAGGTTTTTAATGAGGTGGCAAGGGAGACGTCTCGAGGTTTGAAGTAATGTTCATTACCTCACCCGTCAACATGATCTCTGGAACGGAGTAATGAAGGGACTGGATATAGATAATCAAATCTCCATTGTATGTACAGAGTTGACATGTGATTCCTACAAGAATATAATTAAATCTCCATTGCACGAATAAAGTCGACATGTGTCTTCCTACGGGAATACGATCAAACCTCCAACGAGAAATGGCCAAGGCCATCGACAAAAATATGAGTTCAACCTCGTTCAAACCACAACGGGATCCTACTTTGACGACAGTTCGAAGCAACATCCCAATGGCCAAGGCCATCGACGAAACTATGAGCTCGACCTCGTTCGAACCATGACGGGATCCTACTTCGATGACAGTTCGAAGCAACATCCCAATGGCTAAGGCCATCGACGAAAATATGAGTTCGACCTCGTTCGAACCACGACGGGATCCTACTTCGACGATAGTTCAAAGCAACTTCCCAATGGCCAAGGCCATCAACAAAAAAGGGGATCGACCTCATCCAAAATCTAAATCGACTTAACAACTTGACAGATATCCCAGATACCATAGACATTGCAAAAGACGCCAACAAATCGACAAAATAAATTCTACATTACATCAAAATGTTATGTACACCTATTCTTACAAATGGGCTAAATCACGCCCCATACAAAAGCCCCAAAACAAAAGTAAGTACAAACAAAAGACTACACGTCATCCCTAGTGGGGTAAGCATCCTCGTACCAAGATTTTGAAGCAAGACGGTTCGCATCATCAGAGTTGATGTCATCTCCATCAGGTGTAAGAAGGTCATACCCACATGCCTCATGAGCTGCACGAACTTCGGTGTGCATAGCCTGAAGTTCCGCTTTAGTTGCCCTTCCCTCGGTACGAAAAGCCTTGTACACGCCAAGCCGAGCCTCAACAAGGACCCACAACTCATATAAAGAATGAGGCACGACCGGATCGGCTGAAGCACGAGACGTAGAAGGCTGGGAGCGTCGACTTGCATCCTCCGCTCTCAGCAAAGCCATTTGTCCATTTAACGCAGATAGCTCCGCCTCTAGTTCTTTAACATGCCCTTCAAGACCCGCGGCCTTATGATTAGAGGCCTCCTTCTCCTCAATCAGCTCTGGCCTACAAGCACGGAGGGCATTCTCCAAAGATGTAGTTCCAGAAATAGCTGCCACCAACTTATCAACACTGACGTTCAGCTCGCCCTTAAGCCCCTCAACCTCCACCGCCTTCGTACTCAATTCAGTGGTTAAACTGGCCACCTTTGCTTGCAAGTCGGCATTCTCAGCCATCACCCCCCCTGCTCAACTCAAGCTCATCCTCCTTCACCTTAAGGGAAGCCTCGAGTTCACTATTACGGGCGACAGCCTTCATGAGCTCCTCATCCCACTCCCTCAGCTCTTCGATCTTACGCTCCAGTTGGTCTTCCCTCTGTTTGATACCCTCGCAAAATAACTGAAATTCAGGGTCCTAATTATAAATGTCGAACATCGCGCGGTGCTTAGCACGATACCGTTGATACTTGGACGATATCTTCCCATAGATGGTCGTCCTCTTCCTTTCCCGATGCTCTCACTCGGCCTCCATGATGAGGGTCTGGCACAAAGGAAAAGGAGAAGTTAGAAACAAAATACAGGCCGACGATCACCACACAAACTCAACGACAAAAAGGAAAGGAAAGACACCTACCCGTAAGGCAATACCAGCGACGTTCTGAGACAACTCCATGTCGCTCATCGCCCTAAGCACCCCGTTTTCAGGAGCAGCACCTATAGGAGCTAAAACAAACACCACTTGCTCACAGTTTAGCAGCACTTGCTCAGCAGAGCGCACAAAGCCAGCTCCTGGGTAAACTCCTTCCGCTTGGGGAGATCTCCCCGATAAAATGCATCAGCCATAAATATGGGTACGGGTACCGCCTGCGATGCCCTGCTTCTATCAGCATCCACGATCACGCCCTTCCCAAGCTCCATTCTCCTCCTTTTTCTCGATAACGGCTCGTCCCCATTGGAGGATTCATCCAAGAGATGTGGGAGTCGGCATTGAAGAAGCCTCCTCCCTCACGACCACGACTCGAGAGGAACCTTCTAATTGAATAGGTTGAGGACGACCCTCTCGAACAGACTCACTCAAAATAAACTGCGTGCCCGCAGCAGCAACGGCCTGTCGAAAAGCAGAGATTGGCACCCTCTGCTTGGAAGCTCCTCGACCCGTCATCACGAAAGGTCGTATCAATAAACAACGTCATATAACAAACGAAGTGGTAGGGAAAACATTTACTAGATGGAACTTTAGGGCCATAACGCTTTACGAAGGCAGGCCAATCTCGGGTTTCCGCTGTATGGGGAAGCAGGCGGGCTACCCAATCCCTTGCAATAGGGCGAGGTGGACGTCCCATAGCTGCAAACGAGAAGCAAACAAACTTTATAATGAATACAGATGGAGGAAGAGTAAAATGAGTGGCGACACTTATGAGTCTCATTCCATTATTCCAGGAACCTGGCGGAGTTAGAAACGATGTGTTCAGTTTTGACAAAGAAGTACTTATGCCAGAACTTGCGACTTGCCCGGTCGTCTGTCCCAACCACTAGCCCTTTTGTGCCACGATGCCTCAAATGCACCATGGTGCCCCTATGGAAGCTAGGCGAGAACAAATGCAAAAGGTGGTGGATGGAAACATCACATTTTGCCAACTCCGCCATACTTGGTCAACAGCAGAAGTATCTTAAGCGTATACGGTGAAAGTTGTGCCGGGCAAACCTGGTAGAATCTACAGAATTCTTCTGCTAATAGGAAGAGAGGAAAAGTATAGCCAATCATGAAAGGGTATTCATAGAAAGCATAGTACCTAGGCCTGTGGACCTCTACAAAATCTCTCCCCGCCGGAACCATGTCGACATGAGCGGGAATGCCATACTTTACGCGAAGAGCGTCAATGTGAACTTGCTCCGTCTAAGAGGGTACGGGGTCAGGAGTAGGAGGGAGATCTTTGAGGAAGTCACTTCGAGACATGGGGTGTCTCAGCAGTAACTCCTCCACCATAGGAAGGTTGTCACCCTCTTCTACCACCGTATCCTCACCGCCTGAAGGGGCGCCATGGATAATAGGACAGCTTCAGGAATCCCTTCGTGAGATCGGTGTTGCCTTGGCATGCGTTCGTTAAAAGAGAAAAGAGGTGTTGACACCGTAGAAACAAGGGAGGAAGATGAAGTTGTGAACGAAAAATATGAGAAGAAGAAGCGGAAGATTGTCAGTGCTCGCTCGGAGAGATAATGAGGGGTATTTAGAAGTGAAATGGCCAAGAACTTTCGAAAAAACAAACCCTCTCCCTATTTATAGGATTGGGTGGCGCCAGAATTGAAGCGGAAGGTCACAGAGTGGCATCAGAATCGAAGCAACAAGCCATCAAGTCCTGCCTCGAAAACATGCGTAATGATGACACACGTGAAAATGACATCATTTCCCGGTAAAATGTATAACCTGGCGTCTTGCCAAGCACGCCGACCGCCTACCATTGGCCAATGTCGCAACGCTTCGAAGGATCAAATTTTCCTGTAGAAATGCATGGTGTCCGCTCATCGAGGATGCACCAAGTTGCCACCTCGACAATCGGAGGGACTAACTGTATGGGTCCAAATTTGAACAACCACGACCATCGGCGAGTACGACGAAACCGCGAGTTCCCCATAACCTGACGCCCTGTGGAGGACGACCTTAAGACAAACAAGAGATTGTACGACCCTTGTAATAATATAAACCCGTTAGGGGATATTAAGAATATTCCTTCGAATATTTAATTTGTCTTTTACAGCTTAGAGGGGACTCACTCCCTATATATATATATAGCGAATAATAACTTTGTAAAGGGGGATTCACGATATTTGCGGTAATTCTACTTATGAATGAGAAGATTTCTTGAAAAGGTTTTATTGATTTAGATCGATAAAGAAGTCTTATTATCCGCCTTCTCCTTATTCATTTTTCAGTATAGAGATTATTATACTCAGCTAAGATTTACCTCTTCATTTTTTATTGATTTGTTCAAAAATGTTTCGATATCTTTTGAGTCAAACACGTACCTTATCAAGAGTGAGTGTACGATTATTTTTAAATATATTCAAAGTTAAAGAGTAGATTTGGATATTTTTCAAAGTATTTTAACATGTGAATTTCATCCACCGTATTCAAAATTTCACAGTCCACACTGAAGCTCCATTAGAGTGAATGATAAATACGAGACAACTTGATAACCGTAAAAATATCAACATACTAAAAGTACAACGACTAATAATTTTAACACAATTCTAATAATAAAAGGGTAAATTTGGATTTTAAATTTGTTTCTTTGTATATTACTCCTTCGATCCTATTTAACATGGCGGTGTTTGATTAAACTCGAAGTTTAAAAATTAATTATTTTGTAAATTTATGATCTAAAATAAATTATACATATTTGTGTGATTATAAATTATTTTATTAAAAGTGCAATAAAAAATTAATGTTATTTTATTTTTAAATATAAAAATATGCTATGCTTTTTTAATAAACTAAAAGTAAAAGTATGCCAATTAGCTAGGGTGATTCAAAACCAAACCGTATATGAACGAATTGAATTTACAGCTTAACGCTTTTGTCATGCCCTTTTTTTTTCAAAACCTTCACTAACCCTCTTAAATTGATAAAAAGATTAGTAAAGCTCAAAAGGGTTTTTAACCAAAAAGTGACAAAAATTTGTGTTCAAAAGGATTAACTCAGAGTCGCCACCTGACATTGGTATCGGTGTGCCAGGTCACCAATTTTTCCTTTTAAAATACTTAGGGCTCCAAAACTAAGTCTGCACCAGAGATTCGGGTAAGG